TGGAGCCCACAACTAGTGGGAAGCTCCCACTTTCAATCTTTTCCTAAAAAAAGGAAACTGTGCTATTAAATACTGTTAACTACTAAACTAATTAATTAATTCCAGCTATTGATTACTAATAATAATTACTGTTAGCTACTTCTATAATTAATTACAGCTATTAATTAGTAATTAATTACTGTTAAATACTTCTAATTAATTAATTCCAGCTATTAATTACTAATAATGATTACTCACTGATAATAATTAATTACTGAAAATAATTTCTTATAATAATTACTGTTACTACTTAATTAGTGATAATAATTAATTAGTGATAATATTGCTCATTATTAATTCGGAAAATAATTTCTTATAATAATTACTGATAATACTTAAGTATTGACAATATTGCTCTTTATTAATTCGAAATGATAATTAATAAATATTTTCATAATGGTAATTAATAATTCTGAAATAATAATTTTATATTTATATTAACTCATATCAATTATTTTGAAAATAAATATTTAATGTTAATTATTTATATTGTAATTATTGTAAAAATTATAATTCATACATTTATATGAAAAAATTAATTATATTATTATAAGTAATTATAATTAATAATATTATATTAATTAATATAATTATATTATTATTATCAATAATTACAATTAATTATTACTAATACTAATGATGATAATTATTATTTCGGAATGTTAATTAATTAAAGATAATTAGTAAGCATTTTAATAATGTTAATTATTAATTGGGATATAATCATTTTATATTAATATTAATTCATATTAAATACTTTATAAATATATAATTAGTGTTACTTATTTACATTATTATTATTACAAGTAATTTTAATTAATAATATTATTATTCTCCAATAAATACTTCATTTAGTGAAAGTTAAATTATAAAACTTTCAATTATTCAATATTGTTAAACTTATAGAATTATAAAAGCAAATATTATTTTATGAATTAACTAAAAATCGTAATTATAATAAATTAATTACTTAATAAAAATAAAAATAAAAATAAAATAATAATAATAGTAGTAGTAATAATAATATTACTGATCTCAAAACCAATACACACATAATAAGAATATATTATTAGTTAATAATAATAATATACTTATTATTATTACTGATTTCATAATTATTAATATATTATTTCTATTAATAATACTAATTATTATTAAAAAATGTTAATAGAAAAATTTATTTACTTAAAATTATTTGCCGAAATAACCCATTTTAATTCTGACAGATAATTAATTATTAATTTTAATTTCTTAAAATTATTATTTACTGAATAACTTTAATTACTCTTTGATTTAATGACATTATTTTTGAATATATAATTGGTTTTTTTGTTCAATCATTTTTTTTGCAAAAATCCAAAAAAAAAATTCACTTGCAATGCTAACCATTTTATTTTTCTCTTATTCAGTTTTCCAAAAGAAAAAAATAAATTAATGATATTTACCTATTTTTATCAAATTATGTATTTATCAAGTTGTTGTCATTGATGATGGCGATGATGATGAGTCAACTTTTTGAAAGAGAGGGGTACTAATAATATTAATGACTTCTAACTAATTAATTTCAGCTATTAATTACTAATAATAATAACTCACTGATAATAATTTCTTATAATAATTACTACAAATACTTAATTACTGATATTAACTAATTACTGATAATATTTCTCATTATTAATTCGGAATGATAATTATTAATGATTTTCATAATGGAAATTAATAATTTGGAAATAATCATTTTATATTTATATTAACTCATATTAATTATTTTGAAAATAAATATTTAATGTTAATTATTTATATTAGAATTATTATCATAAATTATAATTCTTACATTTATATGAAATAATTAATTATATTATTATTATCAATACTTATAATTAATTATTACTAATAATAATGATTTTTGATAAAAATTATTTATAGATTATAATTACTTACTAATAATTAATTCCTTAATTATAAAAATGATAATTAATTAATTATTACTTCAGGATGTTAATTAATTAATGATAATTAATAAGTATTTTAATAATGTTAATTATTAATTGGGATATGATCATTTTATATTTATATTAATTCATATTAATTATTTTATAAATATATAATTAGTGTTACTTATTTACATTATTATTATTAGTAGTAGTAGTTATAATTAATACTACTATTATTCTCCAATAAATATTTCATTAAGTGAAAGTTAAATTCTAAACTTTCAATTTGTTATGGGCCCAAGCGTAGGATCTCATCACGGGGCGGTCCACGGGGAGAAAGCCTTGCTTTCCCTTGCGCCTTCCCTTGCGTGCAGACCCTATTGTGGAAAACCGAATGGGTGATTTGTCTAAGAGACCACCCGAACTCTCCGAATGGGTGATTTGTCCAAGAGACCACCCGAACTCTCTTCACTCTTCTCTTGACTCGAAAACTGAATGCCTTTATTTCCACTCATAGCTCATTAAATAGGAGATTACAAAAGGGGGGTTCCTTGGATTCGGCTAGGCTAGGGTAATCCAACTCAAACTCAAACTCCTACTAAATAAATTACCTACTTCTAATGGTAACACAACTCCTATTTCTAGTGGCAAACCAAACTCTTACTAAGAAGATAAGATAAGATAAGGATAAGGGATGAGGGATAATATAGCTGGTGGCGAATTGGCTAGAGTGGCAAGGTAAGTGGGCCCTTGATGAGCTGTCATGTGGGCCCCCCTACTGCTGCTGCCGGGCGGTGCGCGCATCTTACAGTGCTGTTGCTGTGTGGTGCGTGTTGCTGCCGTGCGTTGCCTGCTGTTGCCTAGTGCTGCTGTCGTGCGGTGCGTGTTGCGCGCTGCCGGGCGGTGCGTGCTGTTGTGCGTGCTGCCGTGCGCTCTGCTGTACGTGCTGCCGTGCGCGCTGCTGTGCGTGCTGCCATGCGCACTGCTGTGCATGGTGGCACGCGTTGCTGTGCGTGCTGCCTTGTGCGTTGCTGTGCTTGCTGCTGCCGGGTGGTGATTGGTTAGGCTTGCCTACGAATGGGTGTCTCTCGCTTCTATGTCCGCAACACAATTATTCATTATTGTTAATCTAAAAGAATTATAAAAGCAATTACTATTTCAGGAATTAACTAAAAATAGTAATTATAACAAATTAATTACTTCATAATAATAATAATTTAATATTACTTATTTCAAAATCAATACACACTTATTATTATTACTGATTCCATAATTATTAATATATTATTAATCTTTATTACTCAATAAAGACATGAAATAAAAAAAATATTCAAATTACCACTAAATGAATGAACTAAAATCTATGAGTATTCTAATTGACTTGAATTCGACACATCAACATGCCCAAAATTATAATTTTAACCTACATTTCATATTTGTATCTCCCAATTCCTATAATGCAAACATACCATTAGGTTATGTACAGGTTTCCCTACCTTTTTCCTAAAGATAAATTCTAGCGAGTCTACATGTGGGGAGCTTAGACTTAAAATCCATAACCATGATTGACAAAAAAAAGTGTTGCCACCTAACTTGGAGGTGACTTCCATACTCAGGATGGTCCCATTATTCTCATTCCTTTCATGTTTCCTCTGTTGGATGGGCTTTGGAGTCCTGATTATATTATCAATTGATTGTAGCCATACATGATGATGATTTGATTGTAATCATATATTTTTCATCTCTTACTCCAGAGGATGGATGCATTTGCAAATGTTGTTTGGCATGGATTGTTTTTCTTAGCAGCTCTTTGAATGATTTTCTTCCTTCTTTGCATCTTTGAATGAATATCACTTAAATGCTTTTTATCTATTCATATGCCCCTAAATATTAAGCAGTATTGGTGATATTGTTGTAAACATCCATCTAATTTTACTATTTTATAAATAGATTAATGATTGCAAAGTTATTGATTTTTTTTTGGGTGGATTGCTCAATAGGATATTGATTTTTTATTGTTAAATAGTAAATTTGAAATTAAATGATACTGTAGTTGCCCCTTACTTAGTATGGGGTCATTGTCTAGATAAAACATGGTAAGTCTCTTAAATCAAATAATGAGCCCACCGTAAATGTCTATTATAAATAATTAAAAAAATGAAATAGTTCAAATTAAATCAAATAATTACTTGCTGAAAATTACTGGATTAAGTAAATAATAACAACAATCAATTATTTATAGAAATAATTAATAATAATAACAATTATCAAGTACTTAATTAAGTAAATAATAAAAAACGAAATAACAAACATCAGTTATCATTAATGTTTATTCAAAGCATGCCCCATAATAATTACCGAATACAGTAATTAAACCTTAAATAAGAATCATTATTTATTAACAGTCACTAAAATTGTTAAGCTAAATCATTAATGTTTATTCTTAAATGTAAAAAATGAATTAACAAATCTATTATATAATAATTATACTCGGTTGGAAAAAATATTTTAAGTTTAAATAATTACAAATTTAATTATTATTACTATATAACAAAAAATTTAAATAAAATACTAAAATAAATTGTTAATAATAATAAGAATGGTTAAGTTAATGTAATGAATGGTTCAAGTTGAATTTAATGGCTCGTATAATTTTACGGATTTGACATATAAGGATCAATTTATGTAAACCCATAGACTATATGAATGTCTTAAAAAATGGCAATATATAAATAATAATAAAAATCATTAATATTTATATAAAATTAATTTACCCGTACCTAGTACGGGTCATTCACTAGTTACAAATGAACAGAAAAGAGAAGGGGCTGGAGGAAGGTGCATTAGTCACGTGTCATATATTAGATGGTCAAACAAACTATTTGGGACTTCGAATCGGAAGTAGAAAACTTGAAATTGGAAGCTTGAGGGTTCAGGCATGGCAGAAGTATGGATCTGGCCATCTGGGACTCTGGGGCAGGGGAACGCTCTCCAATCATCAAACACCAAATTTAGGTATGCAGAGCGTAATTGTTTAAAGACCGAAGTGCCCTCATCTTGCTTGCTTCTCAGTTCTCCTCCCGCAAGAGTACTAAAGTTTCTGAGTTTCACCAATTATTATTTGGGCTCTGTTAATTCGTTTTATCAAAGTTTCCTTGGTCATACCGGGCGGATCTCTCTCTCTCTCTCTCTTAGAGTTATCGAAACTCAATTTCATTTTTCAAAATCTGAGAACGGGGGAGGGGGAAATGAGATATAGCATGTAGTATTGTAATATCTGATTTTTATGCTTTTTTCCTCTGTTTCTTTGTATGCTTTTTTCACTGTTGAAGGTGATTAATCATTGCCGACATAAAGACTTACTAAGCTTCCACTGTGGGAATGGGCCCTCAACCCTTGTTCCGTCTTCAATTTCTAGAAGAACCTAGTGAATCACCTTGCTCGTTCCACCCTCAGTCTGGGAATGGGCGAGCTGACATGAAGACTGGATGCTTTCCTTTAGTTGGCACCTTTGAAAGAAAAGCTTGCAAGGCATATACCGGGGAAAAATATTAATGTAATTTTTAAGATTTTAATATCTTTTTATTTTGAGGTGGAGGTGGACTGAACTGTAAAAATCCCTTTATCTTATATGTTTCACATCCATATGATTTATTTTTCCCTTTCTTCTTCTTCTTCTTCGAGTTTATATTCTAATGTTAGAAAGGCCGAAAGGCAGAAAGCAATTAAGTTCTTAAATCTTAGTTTATGAATCAGAATAATTAGTTTATCAGCCAAAGTTAACTTAATGGTAATGGTATATTATTAAACCAGATTGGGTAGAAATTCGTTTTAAGGTTGCCATCCAAAAAGATTTACATTAAGTTTAATTATATATGCGTAAGTATGGACATTTAGGAACCCCTACACAGTTAGCTCATCGGAATAGTCCTTATTCAGGACAGTTGGATCTGTTGAGACGCTTTTCCTACCATTTGAAATCTGAGACATGGTTATGGTTTTGCTCCTGTGCTTCAAAGTTCAAACCAACTATTGTTGGAAAGTGCATTGGCAAAAGAGCCCTTCCGGGCAAGGTGAACTTTAAGTTAAAGTTTTCAGTTTTCGTGGTAAGAAACGAGCTCTCATTGTTTGACTATGCCTTGTTCCTTACATGGAAGGTATGAACCTTTGAGGTTTAGAAATAGGTACAGTGCAAATACAAGGTTTAAAAATATAATATAATATACAGGTTTTGCACTCTACATATTTGTATTTTCACTCTTCCCAAACCTGGCCTTAAGGAAAATTCCCCAGAAGCTCAATCTTAAGGATCATGCCTGAAAGTATAATGCATATGCATCACACTTTTAGGTGCTTTGTGTAAGAAGACGTTTTTGATTGGAGTAGGATTCCCATACAAGAATGGCTTCATACTCATTATAAGATTTTAGGCGTATATTTTTTATTTGTATAAATATTTAGGGCTTTCAACACCCATTTCAGGTTTTGATTTACACCAAGAGCTTTCTGATTGTCTAGAAAGAATTGTCAAAAAATTTGTAATACCTTGTAGTCCTTGTTTATATTATCAGTAATTCATCCATACATTTTTCTTACATAAAAATAAGATCTTTTTTTTTTTGCATAGTTTTACACTTTTTTCTCATTTTAGTTCATTTTTTATTGAAATAATGATATCTCATGAAGGTTTTGCCTCATGCATTAGAAGATCCAAGTGCCTCACTTTACATCTCTGTGTTTTAAAAAATTGATATCACTACCCAAATCAGTATTCCAGGAAATTGTTGATACGACTGAAGTGCTCCCCTGCTTTAGAATAACTAAACTACCTTGTTGTCAGCTTCTGACATGTTTTTTTTTTCTTTTCCTTGTTGACTGTGCCTACCAGGTCTTAAGAACTCAATTCAAACTTCTATTTCATAAAATTATGCAACCATGAGTCCAAGTGGGTATACAGTGGAAGTTACAAGTTTGTCTCCCAATGCAACAGAGAAAGATGTTTATGATTTCTTTGCTTTCTCTGGTACAATAGAACATGTTGAAATTGTCAGGTACTATAAGTTGCATTGATATTTTGGTTACTAGTTTTCATTCATTCTTCATTTTAACCTCTAATTCTTTATCTGGATATATTCAAATTTGTTCCTAATTTTGTTGCTTCAAAGTAAGAAGTGATCATTTGCCTTCTTAATTTTCTATTCAATTGTTGTTGAGAATTTGATTGGTTATTTGATCTTAGTCACTCCTTTAGTGTTTTTGTAATAACTACAATTCGTTTGTCACCATAATGTGTCCTGTACTCCTACTTCCCGTGGTGTTTTACTATGCTGGTTTCAACAATAAATAACTTGTACGATGTATGTTGTTGGAAGATGTGCATTATTTTAATAAGGTGATTCATGAGATATTTTGGAGTTTTTTCCTCCTATTAAATTAAGTAGTCCTATGGTCTAGTTTAATAGATCCTTTTCCTCCTCAAGAAAGACCAATGGGACAGTACTTGTGAATCTCCCTGGGTGGTGATTTAAGTGGCTACCATTTTGATCAAATGGGTTAGTCATCTTTTTCACCATGTTTTACTCCGCTGAATTTTGATTCCTTGCTTCCAATAATTGAATTGGTCAACAATATGTGATTCTGTGTGTTATAGCTTTAAAAAGTAGTTATTACTTATTAGGTTAAACTGCTAGAGTGTTAACATCAGTTAATTTCTTGAATAATATATGCTTCTCCTGACTGGGTTAAACCTTTTATAAGTATTTGATTACCTAGAATCTTTCTGTCATGAAAAATGTGGCTATGCCTATTTTTGCACCTTGTAACTTTTCAAGGTGATATAGATGTTTTTCTGCTAATTTAACACTAGAGGTATTGCATGGTAAGATATCACTATCACTAGTGAGCATGGTCGATAATGTGCTTTGTTTCTTCATGTTTTGATAATCAATGGAAACAGAGTGACATGATATCTCCTGTGGCAAACTACCTGAAATGCTGATGGATTGTGCATGTTATTATATCAATAATTTTTATTTCATTCTGATATGCAAGTGCTGTTTTTGATATCCTTCTAAACAGATCTGGACAATATGCTTGCACTGCCTATGTGACATTTAAAGATGTTCATGCCCTGGAAACTGCCGTTTTGCTCAGTGTAAGTTTCATGCAATCTCTGGTGAAAAGTTAATTTTCCTGCAAGGAGACATTGATAACTGCTAGCTACATTAGTAAAATAGCTCAAAGACTTCAGTTCCATTTCATTCAATACCTATCATTCAAAGAAAATGGTGTAGGCAACAAAAAGAGTATACCTTCTAGCAGCATGGCTCAGAAACCCTAAATTTATTGTTCATGATTTTAGAACTTCTGAACTTTGAATATGGTAATCTGCAATTTCCAAATAAGGCATCTCATGGTAATAGCGGAATTTCTATAAGTACTTTAACTTACTAGGTAGTTCAGTAAGGTTAGCTTGAGCATTCCTAGATGGTAGGCAACAAAAAGTGTATATCTTCTTACAGCATTCTGACTCACCAATGTTTAGGACTTCCATGATGTTGAAGCTTCTGAACTCTTGATATATATATATATATTTGATAAATGTGAACTCTTGATATATATCATCATCATCACCTAAGCCTTGTCCAATTATATGGGGTTAGCTATATGAATCCTGTTTTGCCATTCTGTCTGTTCGGTGCCTTATCCATCATTAAGTTATTGGCACTTAAATCATTTCTTATTATATCCACCAAAGTCCTTTTTAGTCTGCCCTTAGCTCTTCTAGCCCCTTCAACTTGTAACATGTCACTTCTCTAACAGGTGCCGTAGATAATCTTCTATGCACATGACTGTAACCTCTCAATCTACTTTCTCTCATTTTATCACCTATTGGAGCTACTTCTAGGTTCCTTTGCATGACTTCATTTCTAACCTCCTTCTATCTGGTTTTACCACTCATCCATCTATGCATTCACATATCTGCCACACTCATTTTTTGGACATGCTATTTCTTTACAGCCCAACACTCTGTTCCATACAACATAGCTGGCCTTATAACTGTTTTATAGAATTTTCCCTTTAACTGAAGTAGTATTCGCCTATAAACTTGCAACACACACATGTAATCAAACTCTTGATGTGATAGCTGAAGGTTAACCAGTTATGTCTCTTATTCATGTACTTTCATTTAGATTTTGCAAGTTGCCTTAAGAACCATAGATGTGATAAATGATAATCTTCTATTCACTTATACTGGTTTGTAATGATAATCCTTGTGTCTTTATGAGAAATTTATTATACACCAATACTCTTCTGTAGTTCTTCAATATCATTTGCTGCACCTGTATCTCAGCGGTGGCAACCAATGAAAAGGGTGATCTCTATTTGGTATTAGTTAAACCAAGTGATACGTCTGAAACTTACAACATTATTTTGCATTATTTCTTTCTACATTACTTGGTATGCTCTTTCCTCAAAGTTAAAAGTGCCCTACTTCATTGCAAATTCGGAGCTGAACATGAATATGTTATTCCCAGCATGCTGCACTTTAGTATTCCACTTGGCTTAATTCTTTCTGTTCACTGAGTTCATAATTGATTATCTCAGGGTGCCACAATTGTAGATCAACCTGTATGCATAACTCGCTGGGGTCAGTATGAAGATGAATTTGATCTTTGGAGTAGGCCTTCACGGAAGCTAGAAGATGAAATAGGTTCAATGGTAAGCTTCTTTGTTTGTAATAGCAGTGATTATCTGGTAGCCTAGTTAGCTACCAAGAATGTCGGTCCATGCCATAAACTTTGTGTAACTCAAGTGTGAACGTCGGGAAAATCCCCGGCTGTTCAATGGCCGAATAAATGGAGCCGCCACCCATCAAAATATATAACAGGGAGTGATGGGACTCCCGGAATTTACATTTTTCAAAATCAACCGAATGTTGGTGACTCCATTCTTGTCAGCAGGGGGAAGGGGTTAGGCACCCCTCTCTCTTGTCAGTGTGAATACTAGTTTCCGTATCTGCCTTTGGATTTGATGTGAGAATCTGGGTTCTCAGTGATTTGAGAGGATTTGGGAGCTTCTCTCTTCCCCTCCAGACCAACCCCTTTTCGACGTAAGGGTCCGAGCAAAAGGATGAATTCTTACCCTTTTCTATCAGACCCCCCACATTCGGACTCAGTTGGTTGGTTTGAAGAGCGAAAAGAAATACTTCAACCTCTCGGATGCTGAGTAACATGAAGGCTTTCACATTCAAACTCAAACTTTACACCAACATCAAACCAGCAGAAAGTGAAAAAAAAAAAAAGAACAATCTACAGCGGCATTAATAGATAAAGCTTCATAGAAATGAGGTAAAGTACTTTACCACTTATAACCTGAAACCACTGGAACTTGCTGATTTAGGGGTTTTTATCAGCTTGGACGGTCGTTGAATGAATGCCTATGGAGGTCTAAGAATGTCGAGGACTCGATGGAACCTTATTTAACCTTCGAACGAATGAACAATACCACTGATATAGTTCGCAATAGCAGGGAGACTGTGGATTAGTGTCGCATGTATCCTTTATACATCGGCGAACAGGATGAGGGCTCTCCCTGGCGTCGATCTTTGCTCAGTTCTCCTCTTTGGAACCGTTCTTCTTCTAGTTCGAATACTCTCTACAGATTTCTCTTCTCCCTCGGCCTATCATCTTCTCTTCGCTCTCTCTCTCTCTCTCTTCTCTACTCTCGAACACCTCTCTCGTCTCTTTTATTAGCCTTTTGTATTCACATGCGATTTAAATAAAAAATACATATTTATATTTAACAATTTTAACTAAATATTAAAAAAATAATATTTTATAAATTAATAGAATAGATAATGTATCAAATCCACATTTATATAAAAAATATGATTTTTAATATTGAGAAATTTATACAAATAGAATATTAATAATAGAATAATTATTTTAATACTTAAACTTTATAAATTTGCACATGATATAAATCTTAAAATTTTTATATACTTTTACAAGTTGTTAATTAATATTTTAGTTTACATTAATAAGTAATAACGAAATATTTATTATTTACAAAAAATAAAAATATTATATATAAAGTATTGAAGAATATAATATTAAATTGAATTTATCAAATCCACTAATCTATATTTATTTCAAATAGTGATTTTTTATTTCATAAAATTTATAGAAATAAAAATATTAATAATGGAATAATTATTTTAGTAATTAAAAACTATGAATTTGTATATGATATGTATCTTAGAAATTTTAACAAATTTGATATACTTTGAGTTAAGATTATATTTTTATAAATTATTAATTGATATTTTAATTTGCACTTGAAAATTTAATATTTAGTTGACGTTTTCTTAATGTTAAAATATTAAAATAGTAAAATAAAAAATAATTGATATAATAATTAAAATATAATAGATGCATATGTTTAGTGTCTTGGACTCTTGATTAATGCACTATAAATAAAATTATACATCTTGGTACATTGATTGTAATATATTTCTTCATATATAACCTTAATATTTACATTTTCTATGTATTTATATACTATTTTGTGATCATTTTGATCTTAAATTTAGTGTTATTAATGTATTTATGAAAATTTGTGTGTAATTTCCCTAGCGTATCCATCTTTTTCATCTGTATCCATGCGTTTCAAAAGCGTATTTGTATCTATATCTAGGTTGTCTGATACGATACCCGATATCGATAATTTAATTCTCTCTCTCTCTCTCTCCAGCTCTCTCAAGCTCAAGATTCACTATCTAAGAGTCTCTCTCTACTCTTAGTTCAGTCCCCCTGTATACGTTTCCTCTCTTTCTCTTAAAACTCCTCTTCTCCGACCCCCCTCTCCTTGGGATGGGTACCTCCTATTAGGAGGGGGTTTTCAAAGAAACTTCAAAGTGAATGTGGGGGGGGGGGTTTAGGGTAACTTTGGCAATTAGGGTTTGAAAGGGCCCATTTAGAGTGGTATTTGGGTAATTTGGATTCATGAAGGGTATGTTGATAATTTTGGTTAAAAGGGCATTTTGGGAATTTGGTCAAGGGGGGTATTTTGGTAATTTGAAGGACAATTTTGGTAATCTGGTCAAGGGGTTTGGAAATTTGGAAGGAGGCATTTTGATAATTTGGAAGGGTAATTTTGGTAATTTGGTCAAGTGGTATTTTGGAGGAAGGGTAATTTTGGCAATTTGGTCAAGGGTATTTTGGTAATTTGGTCAAGAGGTATTTTGGTAATTTGAAAGAAGGATAAGTTTGGTCAAAGGGTATTTTGGAGTTTTAGAGGTATCAGGTAGGTTCAGCGACGGATTTTAAGGATTTAGGGGCTGAGATTTAGGTTTGGTAGGGTCGAAATGATTTGACCTTGGAGGGTGAATTGGGTTTTGGTAAGTGCTTGGTTTTCATAGACTTGTTTAAACTTTAAAGTGGGTCTGTGAAAGGAATAAATTGACCTTCCCACGTATGACCATGCCCAGGATCCTAATTTTGAGAGAGTATCGACTGCATTTAATTGCCACAGATTCACTTTTTGCCAAAAAAGTGCAAGTAATAGTTAGAATCATCAAAGTGGGCTGTTTAATGGTGTAGTATGAGGGATAGAATGATTTGAAAGTCTTGGATTTCATAATTGTCTGTTTTATAGTGCACCCTTGTATACTGTCAGTATTATCACTTGATGGCATCTTGGATTTCATCATTATCCCCTCTTTGTCACCAGTATGTTACCTTTAGATAAAGATTCCAGACTATGTTCGGTAAGAGATGGTATTGAATAATCAGTAGTTCAAATAACACTGAAAAGAAGTAACCTATCTTTTAATTATCTATAATCCTTTTTCATCATTTTCATTTTGTTTCTCTTTTCCCATTTGTAACTTTTTGTACTTAATTTTTGGGACTCTTAACCTTCTAGATATTAGCAGGCAGCACATGAAAGTCGCTTTGTCTCCACTCCGGCAGAGGCAGTAACGATGGCTCAAGAAGTAGTGAAAACCATGCTAGCAAAAGGATATATATTGGGGAAAGATGCATTGAGCAGGGCCAGAGCCTTTGATGAGTCCCATCAAGTGTCAGCTTCAGCGGCAGCCAAGGTCTCCGAGTTGAGTAAGAGAATTGGACTCACTGATAAGATTTGTGCAGGTGTTGATGCTGTTAAGTCGGTGGATGAAAAATACCATGTATCAGAGACTACTCGGTCAGCCCTTGCTGCAACAGGGAGAACGGCTACAGCAGCTGCTAATACTGTGATCAACAGTAGCTATTTTTCCAAGGGAGCTCTTTGGGTGTCGGATGCTCTTAGTCGGGCAGCAAAAGTTGCAGCTGATTTAGGTGGTCGTGGTAGTAAAAACTGAAAGATGTATGCATTTATATCGTAGTAAATATATTTGATGATGTGTCAAGTGTTACTGCGTGGTCTCTCTTGGTTTATGTCATTAGTTGGATACTTCTGGTTTGCAGCTTTGCTGGTTTGAACTTTGAAGTTTAGCAATTATAATTTATAACCACTGGATACTGGGTACCGGGCCCACTTACCACCATTCCTTTTCTTCGGCAGTTGGGGATGATTTCATAGAGACATCCTCTTGACTTATATGGCTGGGGAAGCATTTTTATAGTCGTACAGAAATATCAAGGAGCATGCCCTTGTTTTTTTATAAGAAAGAAAATTAACCATAAGGATATATAGGTCCAAAAAAGGTGGTGGAGACTGGAGAATACCAGACTCTCTCCTCACAGAAGTGTTACGTTTAGCCTTAATAGGTACACTACACAGTGAACTAATATTCTATTTCTATTCAAAGACGTATTCGCAAATAAAAAGGAAATTGAAGAAAACGAAGATAAGAGAGTTGGAATATCATCCAGACTCCAGAGTAGCAAAAAAGAAGACTATGTAGTCCATTCAAAGTAGAGATGGATATTAAAAAGTCCGAAATAACAGCCAACGAAGATAATCCTAGTTCCACAGCAATCTGGATCACCCGCTTCATAGGAAAAATTTCTGCCTCTATATATATATTATCACACTAGCAAAGCAAAGATCAAACACATTCTCCTGCAGCAAAAATGAAATTACCATTAGTTTTGTCCAAGGCCACACAACACAACCATAGGAGCCAATAGAACAAGTTAATTTCTTCCATCACAGAAAAACAACAAAGGAATGAGAGCACCCATTCATGTTTAAGGAAAATACACTTTATAAATAAATGCCTTTACGAGGGATGCTAGTCGAGCTGCGGTGAAGAAGCGGACGGGAGCCTGTGTTTCTCTCTTAAACAAAAACAGAGACATGAGCGTGCACGTACTGAGGGAGAGTGAAAGACAAAACACTAGTCACTATTGCCTTGGCTTGGCTTCAAGGGGAAGGTGGACCAACTAGCTAGAAGACAAAGGTAAGGTTGAAAATTGAAACCCTTAAAAGCCCTTACCCCCCCTTAATCACTTCTCCTTCCCCGTGATTAACATTCTTTCATGCACGTCAGTGGCTTAACATTCTTCTCCGGGTCTGAATGGAGTATCCGTGGAAAAGGAGTCCTCATCTCCTCCCCCCCCACCCCTAAAGAAAAAGAAAAAAAAAAACGTTTCTGCATGATCTATGGCTGCACATCTCATACATGATGGGTATTAGTTTTATGGTGAGATGCGTGGACATGGCAAAAGATATCTTTGATAGCTATTACAGCTTCAAGGCTTAGTGCTTTGTTTGGTTTGACGGAAGATTTTAGTGGGATGAGATGGGATGATAAAGGAAAATGGGTGAAATTTTTTTTCTTGGTTGTGAAAGGGAGAATTAGTGGAAAAATCAACCCCAATAACAATAATTAAATAATCATTAATTAGGTAATTAGATATATTTTTATATTATTTTATATTTAATTGTTAATTAATTAATTAATATTAATAATCATCCAATTAATAATTAGTATTTTTATTTTAGTTTATTAATTAATTAATATTTATTATGAACTAATTAATCATTTCTATTTTATATTACAAATTATTTTTAATTCAACATTTGTAATATTTTTCTATTAAATAAATTAATAATAAATAATTATTAAATTAGTAATAATTTTATTTTGTATTACTAAATATTTTAGTTAGTCAATATTTATTATTATTTATTTATTTATTAAATTAGTAATGAAGCAATTATTTAATGAATAATTAAGTACTTAATTAATTATTAACTATTTTTTAATTATGAATTAATTTATTATTAATATTGCATTTTAATAATTTATAATTATTAATTAATTATAATTAAATTATTTTATTATTATCTTATTAAATAATTAATAATTTATTAATGGATCATGGGTCTAATGTTAACTTTTAAAAACTCTACAAGGATGGTGTTTTTTTTTTTTCTGTTAAACAAATTTCCCTTTCCTTTCCTTTGCCACTTGTCTCCCACCAAAATGATGGGATTTTTCCCATTCCAAAAGTTAAGATTTATAATCTCACATTTTTCCCATCCCATCTCATCACATCCCACAAATCAAATATGAGAAGAAAGAATATTCGGGAATATTCAATATTTTCCCATACCATGCCGGAAATGAAATGGAGCCTGATGGCTGTTGAGATCAAGTGTTGGAGCAGATTTAAACTCCAAAAACTGATACCAAATATAGATTTTCTGCATGATTGCATTGGCTCCCTACATAGCGCCCCATAGAAAATACCAACCATGCATTGGAATACATCATGTCTTAAAAAAAGTACAGAGATGTTTCCGATGCATGCTGAGATGTGATGTAAGACACGTGTGAGGTGTGCTGTGTGGGGAGCCAATCCAGATCCATGATTTTTGTTGTTTGTTATTTGCTAAAAGTCTGTTACAGAGATTTTATTGAACCCCGCCCTAAAGTTGAAGAATACGTTGGACATTGGGGATGACACAACTTATTTAGCTAAACACCGATAATAGAAGCAAGTAAATGGATTGTGTACTTATAGGAGGGGTGGTTTTTAATAACTGCTGAGTGCTGAAGGAGTAGAAAGACATCACCTTAATCGTTCAGGCAGTGATTATATATGATGACCATTTTATCTCTTTACCAAGTAATGTCAAAATTTGTAAGCAGCAGCCTCACATAAATGCTCCTGCAGTCATCTTTTGCGAGATGTGTAAAACCCAATCATTTTTTTTCCATTTGTTGATGCACATCTCGCTAGTCTCTATCATACCTAATATGAAAGAGAAACCTTTTATTCTATACCGGGCACATGCATTCAAGAGAGGCCAAGAATGTGGATGAGAGGAAGGAAAGGATACACAAAATGAGATAGAATTACTTAATGAAAGAGTTGTAGGTGGAAGAGAAAAATTTGGAACCCAACGACAGGGAATTGCGATAATGGTTGTTTTAGACACGAGGCCGAGGCAAGTATGGACATTATTTGAAGATGGTTAAGTCCCAAATAGTGTTTGGAAACTCTTCTAAATCAGACTGGTCTGTCAAATTGGTTGAACCGTGACTGGATCATACCCTAGTTAAAAACTGAAATTTATAAAAAAAAAAAAGTCTAAACTAGCTTACTGGCCAGTTTAACCGAAGAACTGGTGAATTAGTTCCAGCTCCATGAAACCACCCGAGTAACTAAATAATCAAAATTTCAAAATATTTATGGCAAGGTGGTTCATCAAGGTTTGAAGGGTTCAACAATGCTTGTTGTGGTTGTAGATTGGTCGGTAGCCTTAGCTGAAGCTAATCGTTATACTTTTGGAGTTTAAGGGTTTTTTCTCTTGTTTTAGTAGTGTTTGGTTTTGTTTTCTCTTTTGTTCTTTGTGTCAGTAATTAGTGTTGTGCAGTGTTATCTTTGTTGTTGGGTTTTTGGTGTTATATCTCCTTTTTATCTGTTTCTCTTTGCTTCAACAAATGGCATCATCATCATCCAAGTCTTATTCTCAATTATTTAAGGTCAGCTACATTAATTTTGTTTCACCATTCAGTTCTCTTTAATTTCATATCTATTGTTAAATTATAGGCACTTAAAAGCCATTTTTAATTGTTTTAACCCAAACCCTTTTTGGTCTACACCTAACCCTTCTAGCTCATTCAACTTGTAACGAACTTCTTCTTATAGGTGTTGGATGGTCTTTTACACATGTGATTAAACCATCTTCGTCTCCTTTCTTTGGTTTTATCACCCATTGGAGCTACTCCTAGGTTCTTTTGAGTAATTTCATTTTTTATCCTACATTTTTCTAGTTTTTCCACTCATCTATTTAGCTCTACCACTGTTTCTTGATTTCCCAACATTTTGCTCCCTAAAATTTAGATGGCCTTACAATTATTTTACCAAACTTTCCTTTAATCTAAGTGACATTCATCTACCAAACAAGATTCTGGATGCACCCCTCCACTTTGTCCAACCTACTCTAATTCTGTGGGCAACAACCTCCTTAATCTCTACCTTGTTATGAACTACTAAACAAGGTACTGGAAATAGGTCACATTGTGTTATTTCTTGATTTCCGATCCTAAGCATATTCTCATTTACACTCTTGTTATTTTTAAATTTACATATTATCTATCTAGTTTTAGTCTTATATATTTTAAAACCCTTTGTTTCTAAGGCATTTGTCTATAAACTTAATTTTGCATTTAATCTTTCATTCATTTCATCAGTTAAGATAGTGTTATCAACAAATAACATACACCATGGGGCCTCCTCTTGTATATGTCTGATCAATTCATTTATGATCAGTGCAGAAAAATAAGGGTAAGTGATGAACCTTCCATTCATTTCTTATTGTACCTGTCATCTTTTAACTCTACCGTATGCGTTTTTTTAGGTAAGTGAATACCTTATAGAAATTTCTCTTCTTTTTTTCTAAAATTTTCTATTAATTATTTCAAAAGAAAAAAAAAAAAGCTTTCATGATTGACCTCCGTGGCATAAACTCAAATTAATTCTCTGGCATACTTATCTTATATCGTAACCTTTACTCTATTATTCTTTTCTTCATTTTTCAAGCATTTTTCATTGTCTTATTAAATAACTTAGTGATAATAAGTTTTTCTCCCTTGTATCTTTCCACACTTCTATTGAAATAACATTTGGTCGTAACACCTATTTTAACTTTGCCTTTATCTTATTTAGTGCCTCATTCACTACAGTAATTTTAATTATATGAAGACACATTACTTCTAACACTATTAGTATACTCTTTCCTCCACTATTATATTTTAAGTGTTGTTAATTTAATAATTTTTCAAAAAATATATTTTTTCATCTTTGATTTCTTCCATATTGTAGCAAAACTCTCCTAGGGCTGTAATTGGATTGGAAGACCTTGGGTTCAAATTCAAATCCTAATGGATTAGAATTGTATTTGGATTTAATTTGACTTAGCTTTAATTTTTAAAATACAAAAAAATAAAAATTAATTATTTTTCAATTTTTATATAATAAATTAATGTAAATATAACATACTGAATTTATTATATATATAAATTTTTATATAATATAAATATAAAAATATAATTATATAAAATTTATATATTAAAAATAATAAATATTATAGTAAAATCATATTCAGATTTCAATTGAATAAGATGGAGTTAAATCTTAATCCGATCCGATCATTGATTGGATGCCAATTGTAAAATCCAAATTTGACCTTATTACAATAGTACATCATCCATCACCCGAATCTGAAATAATCGAATTAGATGTTTAAATCAGCCCATGGATTATTTTCGGGTATATTAATGGCCCTATTCTTATCCTTTTCATCTTTAAGATAGCTTAATTAGATGCATTTGGTATTTCTTATTTTAACAACTTATCTCCATTTTTCAGTTAAAAACTTAATATTCATAGTAACATTTTAACAGAAAAAAGAAAGCAAAAAAAAAGAGATAAATCCTTATGATAGGAAATTCTAACAAAGGAAAAGAAACCAAAAATACCAACACCTTCGTCAAATCTCACAAAAGAGCAGGGCAAGGGCATGAAACCCTTTCGTCACAACTTAAGTCTGATGACGATCAAGGACAAGCATCTGATTTATGGAATGTTCTAATAGGGCGGTGATCGATTTTTTTTTTTTGGTTTAATTTTCATTTGGAGATGTGGGTGGTCCGAGGCCATAGAGAGTCAATTGAAGTAGGCCGTTTTTTGTTCATTTCGGCGTCGGTGTGTGACCCGTGTCACACTTTTCTTGGCGAGAGATCAGAGTTGACGATTGACGAGAAAAAAGCCAGAAAGGATATGGAAAGGGGAGGGGAACAACACTACAACAGCGAAACTCGATTGCCCCCTCTCACAAATCACAAAGTCACAGCAACCAGACGGAAACTAATGACTAATGACAATTGTAAATGTATTCACTGTTTCACTATTATTAATAACATCTTTTTGTGGAAGATGATGTTGCTAATCTAATCCGTCCATCTATTGAAGTTATGTCGGTCGTTCATATTGGACAACGACCGAGTCTTGAGAGACTCAACCGATGAACGACCACTTAATCAAACGCATATCGTAGGGCGTAGGCTAGGAGATGAAGTGAAGGCAGTCATACGTCTAATGTCTTGGTGGACTTGGAAGCTTGGGGGTAAACGAGGATCCAAAATCCAACCACCAAGTTTCATGCTACTGCATTATAGAATACGCCGGCCTGAAAATTGAATTACCATTCTTATCCTTTTTACCTTTACACCCGCCTGAGATCCGACTCCTCCCTTGCAAATTTCTCTCTCTCTCTCTCTCTCTCTCTCTCTCTCTGCAGATCAGACCTTCAACACCCTGAGTAATACGGAATTCTCTCTTTGGCACGTAAAACGCCGGCATCAGATCTGTGGCGCCATACCGGATATATCTGCAATCGGCATTAATGGGCAGAGATTCAAATTTATAAATTATCTGCTAGGCAATAAAAACCATCACCATGGCCGGAAAAATGGACTCCTTTTCGATTCGAGTGCCTTACAAGAATATCAAACAAGCTGAGCTCGAGCTGGTCGGTTTGGACGATGCTCACCACCCGATCGACCTTAATTCTAGGGCTCCCAATGGAACCTCGAATGTTTCAGGTTCTTCTCCCTCTGCGCCCGGGCCCAATTACAGCAATTTGAAGACTTTGATTCTCAGTTGTATGGTCGCCGCGGGCGTTCAATTCGGTTGGGCGTTGCAGCTTTCTCTTCTGACTCCTTACATTCAAGTTAGAACTCTCTCTCTCTACTTTTTTCTCTATCTAATTTTTTAAATACAGCAATTTGTTGCTTGCTTTACGTTGATTTGATAGAAACGATCGAGATTAGAGTAAACTGCAAAGGTTCATATCACAAGTGAAATAAGAGGGACAAGCTTAATTTGTTAACTAAGCGTTTTTCGTTTTTTTCATGAGAATGCATTAAGATCTCTGTGCTTCGTGTCATTCGAGTAATTGATAAAATTACGCTTCATGTGTAACTTTTATATTTGAAAGTCCGTAAAATGAGAAAGGTAAAGGGTAACTAGGAACAAAATTTATCAGCATCAAATTTTTTCGGTGTTTGGGGAGGTTGCATATTCTGCTTACATTTATATACTATACTTGATGTTTGCATTAGATCGAAGTTTCAACATCTGGATTTGAACAAATACGAAAAGCTATCAGTAATTAAAAATCAACTGAAAATGGTTTTGATTTGCGATCAAGGATGCACCATGGCAATAATAACTTCAGGACGAAATAGCTTTCAAAAAAGGTGCAGAGGAGTCTGCTTCTAGAAGCATAACGAACTTGTCTGATGAAAAATTGGGGATGAAGCACTGGTGCATAACAAACTTCTATCTTCCATTGATGTAAGACTGGGCTGAGAGATGGGCCCAATGGCTCCAAATGTATCTTGTCAAACTGAATTTGATTTTAATGCTTTATGACCACCCCTCCAACTGAAAAAAAAAGAAGAAAACGCATCTTTATTGTTTGAGCTCCTTACAAATTGGGGAAATGGTTGATGTTTGGTAGCTATTCCTGATGTTGTTATATTTGCATGCTTAAGTAGTTGAAGTATTATGCTATCATTAAACTATCTAATACTTAAACAAAAATTTTAATCCTAAAAAGTTACAGGATCACAGCTTATGAATATAGAAGATTTTGCCAAAAAGAAAAAGAATTTAGAAGATTTCTGTTCAAGCAAAGGATTGAGTCTTTTTAGCGTGCCTTTCAGTTTATGCTGGACTTTTTCAAATACAACCTTTATGTTCTTATTTAAAAGATAAGATAGATTTTAAGGCCTAGGAATTCGGCATATTAATATTATTTATTTTCACAGGGTGTAATTATTAAGACATGAAACTAGTGTATTAGAAAACCAATTTGGATTCATTCTTGAGGGATCAATTATTAAAGCTATCTTTTTAACTTAGGAGATCATGAGAAATTTATGGAACAGAGTAAAGTTCTCCGTTTGGTATTTATCAACTTCTAAAGGGCATTATGGTCTCTAGGAATATACATGAAGGGACAATAACCAATAAAAGAACTTGGGAAGGATGAGAGAATTTCTAATCATAATGGTTTTACACCAAGGGTCAGCAATTAGTTTATATATATATATTTGCATTAATTATGGATGAACTAACTGGACATTTAAATAAAGCCGTACGTTGTTTTCAGCACCTTGGATAAACCATCTATAATGTGGGAGAAATTGAAGAGGATTCTGTCCACATAATTAGTGCAGAGTCTGCAGACTGGTTGAAGCGGAGAGGTGCATCCAGTATGCTACATGACTGGTATACCAATAAGGCAAAAAGGAAAACCTACTGAACAGTTATAGGACTAGCATTGCTATATGAGGCAGATTGTTAAGCAATCAAGAAACATGTTAAAAAAATGAGCGTAGCTTAGATAAAGATGTTGAGATGGTTGAGTTGCAGGACTGGAAAAGACATAATTAAAAATGAATACATTAGAGAGGACTCAGGATTAACAAGAGGGAAAGTCAACTTAGGTGGTTAGCCATGCCCATAAATGACATATAATTGCATTAGTGAGAAGGGGTGAATTGGCGAAAGTAGAAAAGGCTCTGAACAAGCAAGGGAGGGAAGGAGCAAAGAAAACATGGTCTGAAGTGCTAAAAAATGATATCAGGAGTTATAATTTGATAGAACATGTGTCTCTTGATGGAGCATAATGGTGGGATGCTATTTGTGCAGCTAATCCCAAATAATTGGGATTAAGGCTAGTTGAGTTTAGTTAGTTTCGCAGGGTGCTCTCTATGCAACCTATCCATCTTTACTGATTGCTGTATTATTACATCACTTGATTATATTCTCTTGTAGCAAGCATTTCATACTTTCAGTTCAGTGCTCAGGTGCTAGAGTTTGGAATGTGGATTTCATGCCAGTTAAGGGTATGAACCTCCAGAATCTGACAAACTGGCAAGTTGATGTGTCAATAATTTTAATTTCATGTTTGAGTGGTTCTGTACCTCCCATTTGAAAGTCATGACTTTATGACTGGATATAATCAGTTTACTCAAGGTGTGCAGGCATTGTCCATGCATTTGTGCCTACTTTATCTGGATATGCCAAGGACATTGCCTTTTCCTGAGTCATCAATGGCAAAATTTGCACACTCTTCCTTTCATTTGTCTCTTGATTCTCATCAAAATTAATAATTTCTTCTTCTTCATTACATCCTATAGGCTTCTCGTCAGGGGTTGGGTATGTTATAAGGGATTGTGACATTCTGGTCTCTTCTGATCTCTAGCACCCTTTTCCTGTTTAGCTTGGAATCATCTTGTTCTTCTCTCCTTTATGCTTCTTTTCCTCCTCAAATTACCACTTTGAGATTGTCCTCATATGCTTAAAACGAGAGAAAGTAAAGGTAAGACCCTATGAGATCAATCAAGTAATACTCATAAAAAAAAAGAGATCAATCAAATAATGGAGTGCATAAAACACAGGTTGCCAATTGGCTTCTATTGGATGTTTACCCACCTCCATGCAGTGTTTTTTTTTTTTTGATCAATAACCAGAAATTTCATTAAAAATGAGTAAGATACAAGAGAACAACCAGGAGAGAGATAAACTCTCTCAAGTCTCTCCAAGATGGCAATAGAGGACAGCAATTACAGAACAGCCTAGAAAAGTTGATCCCTTCCCACCCCTTGCTTTGCCAAGACATTGGCAAAAGGATTTGCACTCCTTTAACCCACTGCAACTTGATCTCTATATCCTGAGTTAAAAGCTTAAACTTCCTCTTTTCATTAGCAAATTTCCACCAGTCAGTCTCGTTTTTCTGCAGCCAGTAACTACCAGCTTTGAATCCCATTCTATGATCAACTTTCTTATATTCAGCTCCTTTGCTTTTTGGATCCCTTCCATCACAGCCAGGATTTCTGCCCTCAAGGAATCTCCTGCACCTATTGTTCCCGAGTAAAGGGTAATAACACCTCTCTCCTCATTCCGAAAAACACCTCCAATACCTGAAGGGTCCGGATTCCCCTCACTGCTACCATTGAAATTCAGTTTAAAAAACCCACTAGGAGGTGGGGCCCAAACTGGCCTAATAACAGCTCTTGGAAGAGAAGAATGTGGTGAGATGATGTTTAGTTGTTCAGCCTCCCTAGCCAATGCAATAGCGAGTCTCTGCCTAGGCACTGGTTAGTCAAATATAATCTCATTTATATGCTAATATAGACTTAGAAATATGCAATAAAAGAATGTTGTAACTTATAACTTCCAGATTTTTTTTCCCCGAGTAAGTGCAATCTTGACTATTTAATGCCTTCACTGATAGCTTGGCAAAACAGGGCACAGCTTGGGAAACACTATTTTGGGCTGAGCTGTAATTTTGCATTAGTACATATGTACATTTTACTTTAGATTCTGTGTTTTAAGATTTTATGTGCTTCATGTTTGGAGAGGTGGCATCTTGTGCCTTCCCAAGGGAATGATTATGTAACTTCTTTCTGATTTAATGGAAATATGATATTTTATCTATAAAAAAAAACTGGTGCATCCTTGTTTGCGGTAACTGCATGCTAGCCAAGGTTCTAAATATCGATACGCCCGATACCCCTCTACCGGCGTATCGGTGCTTTTTTTTTTCAAATCCGGTTCAGGGGGGGTGGTTTAAGGTTTGTCCACCCCCTGAACCAGTCAAAACCCTGATACGCCCTCTGTAGGGGCGTATCAGGGTGCTCCCGATATGATACGTATCGGCCGATATGGGCTGATATGTAACGATACTTTGAACCTTGATACTAGCACAGCACTGATAGGAAGAAAACTTAAAAGAACTCCTCCACTTTTTTCTTTTATCATATGCCTTATTTCTATTATTCGATAACTATTTTGGCAATTCCTATGGCACCAGAAAGGTACGGTAGGTACCATACCTAAAACACTTTAACCAATGAAAACCTAGCGTGAATTTAAATGAAAATATCGTTTAATTGGTTATGAATGTTTTAGGTACCACCCTTTCAAAGCAGGACTCTACTGTTTTATATTGGTATAGATAAGCATAAACAAAAACAAATACAGCATTAAAATAAATTGATGTTTCACTACTAGATATGGTTGATGCTTAGTTGTCCCAAGCCATTGGTTGACTAGTTGCTTTTATGGTAAGACTACCTCCATGAGACTAGTATTTGCTGTTAGAGTATATTTTGAAGTTACATGTTTTTTTTAGGTTGCTTATAACAAAAATTACTCCTTTAGTACAGCTTTCTCCCAAATTGCTTCAAGACTGAAAAATTGATTATCTCTAACACAACTTTCTCCATTACCTGAAGATGGTCCTAGATATCAGGGGTCTTGGGAGGGGTAAAGCGGATATCAACCTAGCATTTTTTGCACATGTTCTCATGCTTGTTAGCCCAAGATATTACCATTTGTACTGAGCAATGGCCCCATCTGTTGATTATCAGTTTTACCTTGAAATAACAAGTCAGCAATTTAGTTGTTTCACTAAGGTAGGAATAATAGGGGCCATTACTTGGTGTAATGGTAAAATCTTGGGTTGTCAGGTGTGAGAACACGGGTTCAAGTTTGAGAGTGGCCACTTTGTGCAAAAACAGTAGCAAAGGTTAGGACTGTATGTCCATATCCAGTCCACCTCTCCCAAGACCCCAGATATCTGGGACCAACATTGGGCCTTTACTAAGGTACGAAAAGTAGGGTAATGTATTAAAGTAGATGTCTGAGTACATGGCAACTTTAGCTATTTCATTGTCACTTTTATGATGAGAATTCTGCTAAGGGATACTATTTCATTATTATTTCAATTGGTGGTATGAAGAATACTATTAATTTTTTTGCAGTTTTTGAGTATGTTGAAATGCCACCAATTTAGTTGTCATGGTATGGTAGCAGATCAATGATTGCAAATTAAGATCTAAGCAGTTTATTGAAAGGTTCTCTTTTCAGTATGTATAGTTTATCCTATAATGCTAGGATTAAAACCTTTTTGGTGAACACTTTCGTCTTCTGATCCATTCATCCACTAACATTAGAATGATATGTCCTCCCGCCCCCTCTTAGTTGTGTCTCTAGCTTTTTCTATATAGAACTGCATACACAAAACCTTTTTGTTTTTGAATAATGGTATGCTTAAAACTGAGTAAATGTATTTGCATTGGGGTGCTTTTATGCTAATGTACTTCCATTATTTTCAACTTTTTAAATCAGTTGAACAATTTATTATAAGAAATAGCACAAGAAAGAAAGCTGGTAGGGCCGAGCTTAAACCTAAATTTCCTAGAAAAAGATTGTAATTTTATAAATGAAATTTATTAGATAGATATTGCAACTAGTCTTTGCCTGGTAGCTTGTTATCCAAATATCATTATTTTCTCTCATTTTTATTTTGCTTATATTTCTCGTTTAACTGTTGTTTTTAGTGATATTGACACAGTTATCTTTTTGTACTTTGCTTTTCCACTATTTTGTACAGACTCTTGGAATAGAGCATGCCTTTTCTTCATTCATTTGGCTTTGTGGCCCTATTACAGGCCTTGTGGTAAGCTATCACAACCATCTTGTTTCCAATGCAGTCTCCAAATTTACGCCGTTTCGGTTTGCTACCTTAAATTTTCTGGTCACATAATTGTTTGAAGCTAGGGGCCATTGCTTGGTATTATGGTAAAATCTCGGGCTGGTAAGCAACTAAGCATGGAAATACAGGTTCAAGTCTGAGAGTGATAACTTTGTGCAAAAACTGCCAAAGGTTAGGACTGTACCAGTTCACCCTTCCGAAGATCCTCAGGACATTTATGTTGATGAGTTTGCATTTCTTTTAGCAATGTCAATATTAGGTAGCTCATTGATAATATTTTCTATAGGAATTATGGTAATGATTGTGCACAACCTGAAATAGGTAGCTTCTTTTCCTTTTTTTTTTGTTGGTGTTGTTTTAAAGGATTTAAGAATGAGATCAGGCAAATAAAGTGGAAAACGAAGAAAACTCTCTTCAAGCCACACCAGCTTACTTACGACTAACATTGCTGTTGTTCAGGAAATCCCTAACAAGTAACATTTCAACTTTGCACAAAGATATGACTTGAGATTTGCTTTTGATTTATTGGGATCCAAAATCCTTTCCCTCCTTGCTTCCATCCTCTCTCTCTCTCTCTCTCTCACACACACACACACACACACACACACACACACACACTCTCCCTCTCTCCTCCACCCCCAAGTCTCAAGAGTAATTGTTCTTTCTATTGGTGTTTCTGAAGTAATTTACTTAATTAACTTTATTAAATTGGCCCATTTTCAAACTTTAGGATCAAAAGTGGCCTTTTTCAAACTTTAGTAGTGTCACATAATGTTGTTCTTTCTATGGGTGTTTCTGAAGTAATTTACTTAATTAAATTTATTAAATTGGCCCATTATCAAACTTTAGGGTCAAAAGTGACCTTCTTCAAACTTTGGTAGTGCTACATAACGTTGTCTAATGGGTCTGCCAATGCCGTCTGTTTTTGCCTATGGTTGGCCTTTTCTCCAAAGTCTCGGGTCGAAAGTGGCCCTTTAAATTCTTTAGGGTCAAAATTGGCCTTTTTGCAAAGTTTAGGGGTTGTTAGAGCCAAAAATCCTTTTTTTTTGGTGATACCCCTTGACATTTCTAGGTGATGTTATGTCCTGCTGTGGTTTTTGGAGGCTTTTGCAGAACACTTGCTTACAGGATTAATAACTACTGTCTGGGAATGGACCAGCTTCAGGGTCTGCCCTAATTTAGTTCAGTTGTAAATGTTCTGTCTGAACCTGTGGTAGGCTGGTAGCAAGTAAGTTCTGTCAGGTTTTTGTAACGATATGATGAAATTGGGGTTAAAGTATGATGGGTTTGCGTTTGTCTTAGCTTCTTGGTTGCAAATATGAGTGCTATACAGATTATTCTATATGAAAATATTGGGTTTCATCAGCAACTTAGGTTTTTTTAATAGTTGTGTTGGCATGTTTTCTTGCCACCTGTCATCATCATGCTATCCCAAGATGTATCCTATGGACATTTTTTTTTGATCAATAATGTATCCTATGGACATCTCAGTTGTTGAAATGTAGAAGAGCAAGGACGGATCTTTGATCAGGGAGATTGACTGGGGGGCTTGGCTCAAGATGTCCAGCACACAACTGGCATGGAATTAAACTGTGTTGGTTATCTTGCTGAGACAATTCAGTGTAGAGTAGCCACTGAACTATTTATTTGCTTGGTTGTAGAATTGGATCCAGCATGATTATTGATTATTTTTTTAGCTCTTAGTGGAACAGTTCGTTGTTTTGTCTCCATTGCCATTGTGAATGCAAAAACTATAACTTCCATAGTTTCTGTAAATCATCCCTATCTGGCTTTTGTGATGAATTTGATCATGGATCCTTGATTGGGTTGTGTGCACTAGTTCCTATTCGGCAGTTCTTGTGTTCTTATTATTCAAGTTAAATGTGTATTCTTTATTCATGATGCTCAGGTTCAGCCCTGTGTTGGTATTTGGAGTGATAAATGCCATTCAAAATATGGAAGACGACGGCCATTTATTTTGATTGGATCTCTTATGATCTCTATTGCTGTGAGTGTTGAACTGTTGATAAATCTTGTGCTAGGTTTCATTAATTATTCTTTGTTTCACTTTCTTTGACCATATGAATGGTATCTTGCAATTAGGTTACAATCATTGGGTTTTCTGCAGACATAGGATACCTTTTAGGGGATACAAAAGAGCATTGCAGGTGAAAGCCTCTCTCTCTCTCATGCACACACACACACAGACATGTATGTATGTGTGTGTGTGTGTGTGTGTGTGTGTGTATGTCTGTGTGCTTTTGTAGGTTTATATATACATTCATATACATATACATATGCATGTATGTATATCTTTATAAAATGTTTTGCTAAATTCCTTATTATAAATGCAGTAAATATAAGGGTACTCGAACAAGGGCAGCCATTGTCTTCATCATTGGTTTTTGGATGCTAGATCTTGCTAACAATACAGTGCAAGTAAGGTTTTTCTGAAATGATACTTAGTGTTTTTCTTCTTTGAGTTTTCTAGGAGCACTGTGCTGACCATGCAAGGATCAAAATACCGATATGATATTTCCGATACCCATATTGGTGGACCCTGAAACGCATGGATACACCGATACAATAATGATTCTGGGGTTTTAAAACTTCTGGGGGGGGGGGGGTTATAAGCATCCCTCTAGTACTTATAAAATAAAAAAATGAAAAGCCAAAGGCTATGGGCGATATCAATATGCATCAATACCCTGTATTGAGCATATTGATATTTTGATCCTTGAGACCATGCTGAATGTTGCATATGGGCTTATTGTAAAATTTCTCTTCGTTTACAGGGACCAGCTCGTGCCCTTTTGGCTGATCTTTCAGGTTTGTTTTTACCTGCATTTAAATGACTGTAGGATTAGTGAATTTTAATCTTCAGACCTTTATTTTCCTTAAAGGTGACTTGTTACCAGTAGGTAATTTTGTAGGGTTTGTTAAGATTCATCATTAACTTATTACAGGACCTGATCAACGAAATTCAGCTAATGCAATATTTTGCTCATGGATGGCTGTTGGGAATATCCTAGGATTTTCTGCTGGTGCTAGTGGACATTGGCACAGGTACAAAGTCTCCTGGCATCTAAGCTTATGAGAATTGGATACAAATGTATATTGAAGTCATTGAACACAAATAGTTAACTATGCTTTTATGTGTTGGCATTCTATTTTTAGATAATTTCTGATCTAAACACATGAATTAGAAAGAGAGCTAGACATCCTCTATGTTTGATAGTTCTGGGTCTTGCATTTGATAATAGAGTTTGTTTTGGTTATCTTGCAGTCCTATAAAAATTGTTATAGCACCATCACCTTAGCAAGTGAAGTGTGCTGACTCTTTTTTTTCCCTAATTTGTTACAGTAAGAATAGCATCCCTCTTTAGCATTTTGACCAATTTGTTTGTTGTGGACTCATGGCTTTCTGTTCTGGGCCTCACACACTCTGAAATGTCATTGTTTGAAATCTAAATAAGATATAGCTTCATGAATGGATAGAGATCATTGTTTCAATTGAAATTCTACTTTTCATTCTTCTTTCATGATATTGATTTTATTTTTGATTTATCTTAGCTGATGTATATCTAACTTCTTATTTTTGAGCAGTTGGCTTCCATTTCTAACAACTAGAGCTTGCTGTGAAGCCTGTGGAAATCTGAAAGCAGCCTTCCTAGTTGCAGTTGTGAGTTGCTTATAATTATTATTCTCTGTGTTCCTTTCCTTTTCAAGCCATGTTTTCCAAACAGGTTATGGTCAGAGTTTACTTGTGTTTAAAATTTCATAGTCATTGGTCAACTAGTTTAGGAGTTATCTATAATTTTTGTTTTTCTTAGCTTTAGTAGTATTGCCTGCATCAATAGTGTCTGTATATGTCTATAAAGTGGAAAAAATTTTATGAATGAATGGAATTCTTTTGAGTTTAACAGCTTATGTTATGAGTGATAGTGATTTGCTAGGCACCCTATTGGGTGATTTCGGGTTTTCTCTCTCTTCTTTATCTCTTTCTGTCTTCTTAATTTTGTGTGCAGCCATTGCAGCCATAAATAGCCATAGATTCTTCATAAAAAAACATTCATTTGACATTCCCAAAGGATTGAAACTTATATTCATATTTTTTTTCTTCCCATTCCAGCCATTTTTGTCTTCTTGTGGAAAATCATCTCTGTTTGCTTCCATAATGGGATGCCTCCCATAGATCAACCTTCCATCTCTAAGGGGCCATTTGGTAACAGCTGAAGTTGTTGAACTGAATGACTTATTATTTTGTGGACAAAATAATTAAATAATAAAATAATCAAGGGTATAGCTATTGAACTTCAGCTTCAGCCATTACAGAGTCCACGACCTCCTTAAAAACTTATTCACTAAAGACAAAGCAATAAGATTTTTGGTTCAGCCACTTCAGCCATAGTTTTCAGGTTTTCATCACAAGGGAAATTTTCATTCTTTTGTGGAATATGTGCTTTAAACCTTGCCAAACTTGGTCCCCTTCTATTATTATCCATTCAAAATCTACTTAAGAAATTCCATTGAAAATTTTTTGACCTATTTTCCTTGTGCATTCTTGTACTATTAGGACAAATTTGTAATTCTTGCAGTTGATCCTTAAGTATCGTACATTAGTTGGTATCAGTGTTGTAAGGTTAGAACTGGACACAAAATCGGAATGCTTATTGGTCATGGGTCAAATGGTTTGACCATGAGTCATATAAATAATATGTAATAAATTTTGTAATTTACATTACATGTGTTAGAGGCAATTAGATGGTTAAACTACTGTTTTTTAATACAATTGACCAGGGGGTTCAAGTCTTACAACTTGCATTTTATTCTGTGTGTGTATGCATTTAATTAATATATGTATTAATGATCACAACGGACATGATGGATTAACTGTAGAATATTAACACATGTGACTAAGTGTGTAATGATTTAGTGACCAAGGCAGAAACTTGGCTGGTTTTCAATGGTTCTACTGGGTTTTGACCAATTTGACCAGTTTTCCAGAAATCTGAAAAATCGGGATATTAAAAAACTGGATTGGTCTCTGATTCCTGGGATTCACGCCTTGACCAGCCGACCTGGTCCAAGTCTTACAACACTGGTTGTTATTAGAGAAGGTGGTCCTACATGACTACCTCAATGGGATTGTAACCACCATATGTAAAAAAATGTTGTAATGCTGGAGTGATAATATAACATGCAGTGCAAACTTCAAAAATTATATTCTATTTTGTAAAAAATAAGACTATGGTCACTATATAAGCTGAGTTGTATTCTTTTCTGTTATGACTGTTAAACTAAGATGGACACTCTCAAGTAAATACTCATTACTATTAATTCTTACTTCAACCAAGAATGTATTGACTTTTAACTGTTCTAGAGTTTCAAATATCTATAAATTCTTAGGACAGATAGCTCTTTGCACAGGCATCCTGCTTTGCTGGTAAATGTATTGTGTTTATTTATTTGATTGATTGATAATTGTATATTATGCATGTATGTATAACTGTCAATGGAAAACAACAGTTAACTTTGAAGGGCTATGATTGAAAATCTCTATTGGTTTGCTGTCCTTTTCAAACATTTTTTCTGGTTTACATTTACTTTAATCTTGTTTCACCCACTTTCATCATTTTTTTTTCATGCTAGTTCCATTTTTCTGACCCAGAATTTCTTTTATGAGCTCCTATGTTGGAATATGTCATCAATATTATTAATCCAACTGCATTTTCTCCTTAATTAAAAATAGCTCATCTGGTAGCTAACTATACATGCAGGTTTTTCTTACATTCTGTACAATTGTGACGCTGTATTTTGCTAAAGAAGTGCCACTAGTTAGAAATGAGCCCCATCGCCTATCAGATTCTGCTCCTTTATTGGATGAAGTCCCAGAATCTGGGAGTGAGCTGAGAAAATCAAATTCCTTTACGCCAAATAAAGAGGATCAAGGTAAAACTATGGATGGAAATACACAGCATATTGACCTGAAAGTTGATGAAAGCTTGCCTGATGGACCTGGAGCAGTGTTGGTAAATCTCTTGACAAGTTTAAGGCATTTGCCACATGGAATGCATTCAGTGCTTGTCGTCATGGCTCTCAGTTGGGTACGTGCTTTGTTAGATATTCATTAAGTTTTGGTCACATAGACTTGCTTGGTTATGCCAATTTTGTATTAGGATCAATATTCTGTTCACTCAGTTATTGAGAGTGTTAACGTAGAGTTTTGCTTTGTGGTATGGTTCATTTTGGGCTATTTGGTTTCTTCTACTCTAAGTGATCATGTATTGCCTGCAGCTCTCTTGGTTTCCATTTTTTCTCTTTGATACGGATTGGATGGGGAGGGAAGTTTACCATGGGGATCCAAAAGGGGATGCCAATCAGGTGGTAGCTTATGAAGACGGTGTCAGAGAAGGTGCATTTGGTTTGCTATTGAATTCAGTAAGAACTCAAGATTGATCAATTATATCTTTATTTTCCAAGATATAAGTCATTTTTGTTGAAGCCAAATATGGAGAGCACTAGAGCAATTACATCTTGGAAGCTGTGAAAATTTTCCCTTCCTATCTGGAAAAATGGATCTGATTTTTTTTTTTTTTATTGGAAACTGAAAATGGATCTGAATATTGACTCATACTTTGTCTGGTTAGGTTGTTCTTGGAGTCAGCTCTGTTCTTATTGAGCCAATGTGTCAATGGATGGGTGCAAAAGTAGTATGGGCTATGAGCAATTTTATTGTGTTTGCCTGCATGGCAGGCACTGCCATCATTAGTTTGTTTTCTGTTAGTGAATACTCCAAAGGAATTCAACATGTCATTGGAGGGAATGAAAAAATTAAGATTGCTGCCCTGGTTGTATTTGCTCTTCTTGGCTTTCCTCTTTCTGTAAGTTACAGACATTCTACAGTAATTTCAATTCCTTTGTATTTATGCCTGCATGGTGATGTTGAATTTATAAGCAATGACTTCATTTTTTTTGGGCAGATCACCTATAGTGTTCCCTTTTCTGTCACCGCAGAGTTGACTGCCGATACAGGTGGTGGGCAAGGTTTGTATAAAATCTTATTTTGACTGTCCTCTAGTTTGGTCTGTTGTATTATCTGATGGTGAGTGGTAAAGAGATTGAAGAGGATGCCACTTGTAGAATTAGAGCAGGGTGGACAAAAGAGATGGACGTATCCAGAGTGTTTTATGAATGGAGAATGAAAACTACACTGAACAGAAAATTTTACAAGATGAATACGAGGCTGACAACATTGTATGCAGCAGAATGTTGAGTAGTCAAGGAGCACTTCAACTCAACTAAGCATTGTGCCAAGTATATGGGGTTGGCTACACGAGTCCTGTTCCGCTATACCACTATCCAGTGTCATATCCCAAAGATGAGCACAAAATGAGAATGACAATCCAAGATCCATGTTGATAAGAGTTTGGAAAAATGTTTTAATGCCAGTTGCAACCTGACACATATCAGGGATTGGGACTGGCAGTTTAAGACAAGGCCAACACTTGCAGAATTGCAGTCAAGAAACATATCTAAAAACTGGGTGTGGTAGAGTTGTGGATGTTGAGATGGATGAGTGGCAAAACTAGAAAAGAGGTTAGAAAAGAGCATATACATGGATATCTAGTAGTCCTTGTAGGAGAAAAAAAATGAGGGAGAAGTCACTAAGATGGTTTGGAAATTTGCATGGAAGACCAACTGCTGCTCCAGTCAGGAATGATCTGATGCAGATTCAAGGGTCTAGATCAACCAGAGGCTGGCCAAAAGGGACATTAGTTGAGGTAGTGAGAAATTATTTGAGGGCTTACAGTTTAACAATGGAGATTGCCCTTGATGGTGGAATGATGAAGCAGAATTTATGTAGATGATCCCTTATATAGTTGGGACAAGACTTTGTTGAATTGAATTGAGTTCAATTATGATGGTGCAATATAGTCATCTGCAACTCTGAAAATTATGTATGTTTTTTGCAGGATTGGCCATTGGAGTTCTAAATCTTGCAATTGTTGTTCCTCAGGTATGTCCCACTTCTTTTTCGTTAGCTTCCATTTGTTTTCCAAATTAAATTCTAAATATAATACCTTATGCTATTTTGGAACAAATCATTCATTTGAATCATGGTGGGGTATTCTTTGTAGTTGGTACTCAAGTGCTTTGATTTTCATTTACTGTTACTTGAAACTTGATTATTTTAAGTATAATAGCATATGATGATCTGGGGTTTTGATTTTTTATTAGATTTGACACTAATTTTCATGGTTAGTATAGATTATTTATTTATTGTGGACAAACTCTCAGATTGGCACTCACATAGTCTGTCACTGTGAAGTGTATGTTTGACAGATTGGTATTAATCCATGTTATCTTCTGTCTTCCTCTTGTCCAAGTACCTGCTGGTTTATGTTGATATATGCCAAGTAGTTTGTGCTACACTTTTGTGACAATAGTCGTGTGTATGTTTACATCAATTTTCTTATTTCTATTTTTTTAATTTTTTTTTCTCAGATGATTGTATCTCTTGGAGCGGGTCCATGGGATGCTCTTTTTGGAGGAGGAAACATACCTGCCTTTGTTCTGGCTTCTATTTTTGCTCTTGCAGCAGGTATTGTTGCAGTTCTTAAACTGCCAAAGCTTTCAAAAAATTCCTACAAATCAACAGGTGTTCATTTTGGCTGACTTCCCTGCCCAAACAAGGCAAACACCAGCTTCAAGTCTGTATGATTCAGGCAACCATGACAGCAGGTTCAACCCATTTATTGTGTAGGGAATAGTTCCTACACAGTGTGTTCCATTCAAATTCATTCATTCTTTTCCCTTGTCCTGCTGCACTTGTAGATCAGTGTATATTATGTCATTATATTGATATCCGGCAACTCCCAACATAATCACTCGAGCTTTGATATCTGGCTTTCATAACCTGGCCGCTTGTATCTGTTTTAACTTTTACGTGCTTCTACTTCCTCGGATGTTATAAAGTTGATAGTGTATGGAATTGATGGTGATATAATTTTGAAGAATTATATAGTAAATACATCAGCACAATCAAGTGATTGTACATTGCGGTGGTTCATCACATCCCATCTCCCATCATCAACTCGTTTTATCATTTTATGTACCGTGTTTAATCATATAGGTTGTTCGATTAAGATGGATGGTGGTGAAATTTTGGATCTAGAACGTCAAACCAAGAAATGGACAGAATCAAATTTCTGATACAAAAAAACTGGATACAGCATTGCCCTTGAGAGTTTGCAAAATTTAAAGGACTAACTAATTTATGCGTGCTTTACATGGGACAAGGCTTAGATGGGAATGATGATGCATGCATGCATGCTTTACAAGGTAATGTTGATTATTATTATTATTAGTAGTAGTAGTAGTACCTCGACAATTCAGTATCCTGATTTTCAAAATGTGTCAATCTAGTACCTGTTGTTAATCAGCCATCAGTTATGTGTATTATGTGATGACATGTGATTTATTTTATTTTTTTTAAAAATGTTAAAATTATCCTTAGAAATACTGTTCATCATCTTCTTCTTCTTCAGGAATTAAATTAAACCAAAGCAATGGTGAACAACTCCAAACCTGTTAGGAATCCCAATAAACGAAAACTCTTGAAAACACAACAAGAAACAAAATCTGAACTCCTCCCTATTTGCAACCACCAACCAATTATTCTTAGTCTAAGAAGCTGAGGGTTTCACTAAACATGTTTAAAATGACAGCAATATCACCCATCTAATGGATCATCTAGAAGATTTAAAAGCACAAACAAGAGCACGAAATGCATGCCTACCAAACCTTACAACAGAGAACACAGAAGAGCAAAACCATTCTTCAAAGTCCAGAGAAAAATCAGCTCAAATTACATTTGGTCTTTTCTGTAGCAGTGATTCAAGAAGAAAGACAGGTAAAGAGCATTTGTACATGTCATTTAATGGCTGATTGATGGTAGGTACTGGATTGACACATTTTGAAAATTTAGGCACTATGCCTGAAATAGAGAATAATATAGTAGTGTAGCAGTCTAATATTTCTCGCTATTATGGAAGACTAAGCACAACTCATACAGTCATGCATACTGCCAGTAGCCCAATTTAGCATCCTTACCTGTGGTCTTTATTCGCATTTGCCTGTATGCGTTGACCATATTTGTCCACGTGATGGGCAAAACGTATTCTAACGATTGCCATTATCTGGGTTCATGTCAAACCTTACAGCAACGCGTTGTAAGTTGTAACACAAACAAATTCTGAATATTCCTACTAGGCAATGGCTGTACGCCTGTACCTATCATCATAATAGGAGATGCCCTCCTCACGTGGTAACTTTTAAGTCCATGCACTCAAATGGATCAGTTAGTCGATTAGATGGCTGGTAGACGGTGTCGATTGCGTTGGGTATGTTGATATCGAGAATTGGTAAATAGTTGTACTACATATCAATATGTCATCGTAATTCACATTGGTGAACTTTAATCTTTCTCTTGTCTTGACTGTCATTACATTTTTGTGTAAGCAATCCATGGAAAGCGAAAATGAATTTCTAGATATCTCTGTCCTCTGGAGATGGACGCGGACCATGCTGAATTGAAGTTTTGGGCATGCTGACTGGAATCTGAGATAAGGTAATATGACTAATGAATTTTGAATCATGAGCACATGGGATGGGGGATATGCATGGGGCCGGTGTCCAAAAATTCTTGTAAACTAGCTAGTACACCTTTTTGCTATTTATGCAGGTATCCCCTGACCAGCATCCTCGCATGGTTAGTCATGTCATCCAGCCATCCACTCCAGTAAAAGGCGTAAACATTAACATTTCATCAAGGAAAAACATCCCTTTTGGTTTTGGCTGTGAACGTAGGAGAAATGTTATGGTTGAACAAGTTGTTATTGGTGGGAAGTTGCGATAATATTCACCTCACAGTTTTGAGCTTAAAACGAGCCGGAGTTCTTATATATATATACCCCAAAAGTTATTAGCTGTCTTCCCTAAAAACAATTGAGGGTTGGCTCGTTGGTTTGTTAGCTGGGTTGTTCCAGCATTAACGCAGCATCAAGTCCCGCAATCAACACTTTTTGGGAAAAAAGGGTAAAAGGGAAAGTTATGGGTGAAAAAATCTTGCTTCATTCTACCAAAAAAAAATGGATCCAAAATTAACTAGTGTGTTAGCTGGGTGGCTGGGACGCAGATTCGAATCCTGCTATTTCCACCAACGTTGAAAAGTTGGTGTATCGTGTTAAATACCCCCGCCCCCCCAAAAAAAAACGCTCAAGATTTGGTGATTGTTTGCCATCTGTCAGTGGCTCTGATCATTCAATTCCCTTTTTCTCCTCAACACCACCAAAAGAGTCACTTGTCATTTTCTGGAAGACATGGGGGCTGTAAATAGGGGATTCTACCAGCAGTCCAGCACAACAACTCTGCGTTGTGTTGTAGAAACAAATAAAAAGCATTTAAAAAAAGAAATAAAAAATTCCAACGAAATATCAATCAGCCACTACCCAATTCGGCCGACTTGCGATTGGCATCTTTTCGTCTTCGTTGGAGAGAGTGTACAATATAATATCGAGATTTGCTTTGCATCATCCTTGGTTTGCACTTGGCAGTGTTGGTTCCCATGTTGATTTTTGTTTGATCAAACTAGAAACTTAAGAGAAAGAAAAATTGATATCGATCTGACATGACTCTTTCTGCGTTTTATACAAAACGAAACACAGTGCCACTTGAGCTTAGCTTGTATCGATTTTTGGGATCAGATTTTCTTTGTCATATATAATTGAGATGAGTAGCCAAGAATCTCCATCATCTTCGTATCAAATGGCGGCTCCCCATGTGAAGGGGAAGAAATTCAAAATAGATTCAAATGAAAAAGTAGTAAGGTAATGGGAGCTGATAGCCTTTACCCACCTTTGACACTTGACAGGATGTTGGCGTTGCCTCAATTAGAGCCGGTTGAAACTTGAAATGTAAACAATACTTTCAGTAGGTTGATGGAGATGGTTTAATGTGTAAAATGGCTGGGGAACACAGGACCGCTGGTTGGTTGCAGTCCGGTGGGCCCGCATATAACTTTACCACGTGGAAGGTGATTTTCAGGACCTATTATGAGGATGGTCCCACGTAAGAGAGGACCCGTACAGATTGCAAAATCACCATTATCAAAATTGACCTTAGACTATTTGATTCACGCATCTCTCTCTCTCTGCTTTTCGAAGAATTTAATTAGATAAGAATGGAAACAGAACATTTGACTGCAGTCTAATTATTTGTTTCAGATATGTTCCTGCAAGATTTTGGATTGTTTTTTGTTGTCCCGTTTAACGAGCGGGTCCTCATCATCCTCACAAGATAGAATGCAAGTTATATGGACCCAGACCCATCATTATTGGCCCTGCGCCCCTGAACCTAATACGTTTCTGTCACCTCTTAACATCGTAATCCCATCAAACAATAAGCATGGGAGTCGTGGACCATTTCTAAAATTTTATGCTTTAGACTTTAGAGGGAGAGGAGAGGGTGGGGGTCTAATATAAAACATAAACCTTGTAATATATTATCGATCCATTTCCTATTTTGAAATTTAGTCGCAAATTGGGATAACCCATCATATATACTCTTATCAAAAGGTTTCAAAATCCGTAGAAAGTGTAAATGAAGAAGCCGGAATTAAGTTCATATGCTTTATGGATTGATATTGCATACTGTACTACTGTTTCATTCATCTTCTTCAACAATCCAACATATATAAAACCAAAAGCCCAAAAAATAAAAATAAAAACGAAAAAGGAAAAAAGACTACTTTGCCACAAAACCTATGCTTACTAGCCAGCCATGGATTGAATACCAAAATGCAATCTACTCTGTAATTTTTTCTTTTTTCCATCTCCTGTGGTATCAGTAGATCTAATTAGTTTTTATATGCATTCCGTTCTCAAAATTCCTGAGTACAACAAACTATAACATACAAAAGAGAGGTAGAGAGGGAGAGAGAACTAACTACTAAGAGCAGCAGCAGCAGCAAACAGGACAACGTACGATGCCGTTCTCGTTACAATCAGGGCAGCGTTGAAACCCACACTCACATTCTCCTTCCTCCCCATCTCCCATCCCTTGCTCGTAGTAGATCTTACAGCTTCCCCAACACCTCTCACATGGCACGAACCTTATATCACCACAAGCCTCGCATACACCACCACCACCATCGTCGCCTACCACCTCGCAATCTTGTAGAATCTTCTCGAGAACTCCGTCATCGTGCATCTGCCGTACCTCGTCGACCCCGCCGATGTACCTGCCCTTTACGAACACCCTCGGCAGCCCACCCTCGAAGCCATCTCCCAACAACTCCTTCAGCTCCTCCCTGAACCCGTAGTGCATGGACACGTCCCTCTCGTCCACTCGAACCCCGAAACCCTTCAGGATTACCCTCACGTGGCAGCAGTCCTCGTACGTCTTCCTCACCCCTCTCAGGCTCGTGAAGTAAACCACCACCTTGTCCCCCCCACCTCCACCTGGCGGGCACCCGCCCGTGGCCGTTACCACCTTGCCATCTGACAGCAGCAACTGTCGATTATGGAAGGAGGAAGTCTTCTTCTCGGGCTCCGGCAGTCGGAGGTCAAAAGGGTCCGTCGGGGACAGCTCTTCCAGGGCTTTCCTGAATGTGGATATGATTTCCGGATCGAAATCAGAGATGACGGAATTGGAATTGGAATCGGAATTGGCATCCTCCGATAACTGAAGCCACAGCGGTTTCGGCGACGTCTTCCCATTTTCCTGTAGCTTCGTCGACCTGGAAACATCGGGCGAATCGGTCTTGTTGGGGACGGCGTGGAAAGAGAAGGAACGGTCGACGAGATGGGGGAGGCGGAGTGGACTTGCGTCTTCTAAGCCTTCCATCAATTCCCATGTGTTGATGGTCTCTGGTTCGCCGGGTGGTGTTCTAGTGGGCGTCTTAGGCATGATCTTGGGGATTTTCGTATTGATCATTTCTGACCAGGTCTTGGCTTTGGTGATACCCGTGGCGAAATCCATACTTTTGCAGTTGTCGTCGTAGATGGCATCGTCGATATCTTTTCTGTTTATGTTGCCATTTCCATTGACGATAATGCTGTCCTTATTGTAGTTCTTGTCGTTGATGATGTAATTCTCAGTGCTTGTAGCGTTGTAGGCATCCTGGTATGGATGGTTGGAGTAGTCGAGCTTGAGAGAACCCAGTGTGTGGGAGGTGAGGGCGACGACTTGATAGCTCTCTCTTCTGCCCGGGGAAGGCTGGTGGCTGGGCACCGAGTAGCTACGGGGGAGAGGCGATGGGCTTCTTCCGCAGTGGCGGCACCGCCGATGAGATTGCTTGGAGCTTGCGCAACCCATTACTATCGATTTTCTTTTGTAGAAAAAAGAACAGGGGAGCGGGTTCTGAATTTCTAGTGGGTTTGGAGAATAAATTTATTTAGGGACATTCTCTCTTTGATCATACATTTCAGTCATGAGCTGGAAGCAGGATAAATTATGGGGGGTTTTATTGGAATTGGAAACTTAGATGAGAAATGCAGAACTTAAAGGAATGAAATTTATTTAAAAACAAATCCAACAAATTGTACGTACGAGGATAATGAATTTGGTCCCTGCGCTGAGACAAAAAAAAAAAAAAAAAAAAAACAAGACGAGGAGAAGATGGCGACCGGGAATTAATGCCTCACAAAACCGAGATCAAGCAGATAGCACAAGAAGAAATTCCTGCGAGTTCTGGTGGAAAACCAATCAAAACAATCTAATCCATGTGAAACATTGGTTGCATCCACGTTTACCTGAATCCTCTCCCTCTAATAATCAGACGAAATTCCATGCATAGTTCTCGTTCTCTAAGAATCCCCATGGATCAGCTGGGATAATAGATAGGAGTGGAAGAGTAAATTAGCCATCGTCTTAGTGGTCAATTGGAAAGAAGAAACTAGAAACAGGACGGAAACGTTGGAGGAGTGGAAACAGACAAGGCGATGAGGGGGGAGAGGAATTGCTGAGTCAACGAATGATATGAAGGTGAAGAAGACCTTACCAGTTACCAGTAAAGAAGGGAGGGTCGGTCGATTGGTGAATCGATTAAAAATCAAACAAAAGATAGAGCAAAAAGCAATATCTAAAAGGTCTGAAAATAACGAGTCATAAGAAGAAATCACGCCAAAATCATCGTGAAATGGTCAACAAATCAATCAAAAGAGAAACGAAAATTCTTTCTAAATTCTAATCTATCCCTGTTGTCTGTTCTGCTATCCACCAAAGAATTAATCGAAAGAATAGGAAGGTCGCGGGATGCTGCACAGTATTGAATAAAAAGTGCGGAAATTCTGATCTCAACTACTCATCCTCCCCAACTCAAACAGAAGAACCCTTTTATGTATCGAATGAAAAAAATAAATGTCGACGCGCTTCGAAGCTCAAAGATTCGATGGCGGAAGGGGGGTGGGCCGGTGAGGTGCTACTCTCTGTGGGGTGGGTGCTTACACGTTTTCTAGCAGGGAAGCAGTCAAATATAATTATATTTATTAGGACAAATTTTTTAAAATACCCATAAGATTTAAATTTATTAACTCTATCCGTACTGTTTGATTATTGTTTTAAAGTATCTTTACTGTTTTTGAATTTTGACAAGTATAACCCTTATGCTTAACATTCGTTAATATTAGCAGTACACACATTACACTACGTGATGTATATATTTTTTTTTAAACCCAAGTTTACCATTTTTTAAACCTCAGCTCCAATTCATGCACAGCAACACTGGTGGCCAATACCTCTACCCTTTGTTTGTTGAAGTCGAATACTAGTGGCCAAATCAAATTTACTTACGAAAAGTTAAAATTACTTGTTTGACAGTGAGATCCCCGACTAGAGAGAAAGCACCAAAAGACCAGGTATGGTCAGTGTTAGAGTTGAAACCCAGCTTCATCGCTGCTTTATAGAAGAAAACAAAACCGGACCAGGTTACTTTTGATTCTCAGAACGAAACTGGAGGAGTCAAGAAATTGTTATAAAGGGGGCCAAAATATAAATGAAATATGGATGAATCTACAAGGGCCAACCATTGAGATGGAAAATGGGGGGAAGAAAAAATTTACATAGATAGCTGTATTACAGTGGGAATTTTCTGAACCATAGGAGACATGACTCCCATGGGTCCCCCAGGCGCTCGGCCCTAATTGCCTAATCGGAACCAAGTTTTCATAAATTAGTCAGAAACAGAGAAGAAGGTTGACTGTCATACGAAAACCAGCATGATGCAACGATTAGACTCTCCGGTACGAGATCAGATATTTATGTTCGAAACCTAGGGTTTTTAAAACGACCCGAACAAAATATTGACAAAACTAGTGAAAGATCGAATTTCTCTTGACCCCATAGGAGTTTCCGAAGAAAAGTTCACTGAGAGAAGGTCTTGAAGAGCCCCTGCAGTTCGGAGAAGAAACGTGGAGTCTGATCAGCTCATTCTGTGGACTTCTGGGATGAGATATGGAGAAAGAAAGGAACAAGGGGAGTTTGGGAGCTAACGGGACCATATGCTCTGCTTTCCGACAAGTGTTTGTGACAATAGATGGTGTTTTTGTTGGATGAGAGGTGCCTTTTCCCCTACTGCTTCATTTTGAAAATTGAAACTCTCCTGCCAAATAGTTTTTCCAGGGTTTTGCTGGCCGACTGACTAACTGGACTCGTCAAACTTGAAACACAACAACCACACGAAGACGATGATAGCCCCATGCCCCCATCCCTCCCTCTATGCTCTATTTGGATTTGGAATATCATTGTATGTTTGTTTGATACCAACCACAGTCATAAATGAAACACAACAACCACACTAAGTGAATCAATTTTCCTTTTAATTAATTAAGTGAATTGATACCAACCAAATCCCACCACACGTACAAGTTAGTGCTGGGATCCTCTTTGGTTTGTCCAAAGTCCAAACACCAAAGTAAAAAGGAAACAAACACCACAGCTACAGCATGACAGCAGTCCGCTGACAAGGTCTTTCGTAGGCATAGCGCATAGGGTCATAGGGATAGCCGCTCCGGCCGCTTGGATATATGCACATTGGATGGGATGGCGCCGAAGCCCGATGGAATTTCCCTCTTCCTCTTGTAATGAAGTTAAATCTCACCAAAGTCATCAATCACTCATCTATGACTGTGTTTGAGTCTGAGTCTGACTGGAGGGGAGGGAGGTGGCAGACTGACCCGTTTGGGTTTTGATTTTTGTGGACAAACACATCCCTGATCCCCCATTAGAACTTGAAAGAAAGGCAAACGGACCACTTTTTAATTAATTATTTAATTAGTTTTGGGATGAACGTTGCAAATTTAAAAAAAAATGGACCGAGGGATGAATAAAGGGATTATAGCATATAAGGGCAAATTTTGGAGTTTAATATCAATAAAAGTAATATTTGTTAAAAAAATTTAAAAATAGGTTAACTTTTTAAAAATAATATCTATAAAGGGTAAAAATACTATTCATCATCTTCTTCTTGCCATTTGTTTACCAGCACACCGCCCACCACCACCCACCACCGCCAGTTGCCTCTAGCAACGTTGCCGGAGGTGGCGGCGACGGGTGGTGGTGGGCGGCGGCGGGCGACAACGGACAGTGGCATTGGTGAACAAATGGAAAGAAGAAGATGATGAACAGTGTTTTTTCCCTTTATTGATATTATTTTTAAAAAGTTAACATATTTTTGAATTTTTTTTAAAAATAGGGATAATACCATATAAGAGCAACTTTTGGAGTATAATATCAATAAAAATAATATTTAAAAAAAAATCAAAAATATGTTAACTTTTTAAAAATAATATCAATAAAGGGTAGAAACACTATTCATCATCTTCTTCTTGCCATTTGTTCATCAGCGCCGCCGCTTCTGGCAACGTTGCCGGAGGTGGCGATAGTGGCGCTAGTGGTCATTTCTCTACCCAACACCACCACCTCCACCTCCGCCTCCACATAGCCAAAGGTGGCGGCAGTAGCATTGGGCAAAGGAATGACCACTAGCGCCACCACCACCATGTCTGCCTCCACCCACCTCTGGCAACGTTGCTGGAGGCGGCGGTAGCAGGCAACGGTGGATGGTGGCACTGGTCAACAAATGACAGGAATAAGATGATGAACAATGTTTTTGCCCTTTATTGATATTATTTTTAAAAGTTAACCTATTTTTGATTTTTTTAAAAAAATATTAGTTTTATTGATATTAAACCCCAAAAGTTGCCCTGCTATTTGGGAGAATCATGACCTCCTCCCCCATGCACATGCACGTGATGGGACGTGCCCTTCTTACTCTTTCCCAACAATGCTCAATACTTTTACATTCTTCTTACTTCTCACTGCTTTGCTGCAAGGTGGATTTTGGATCATACCTGATTAATTTTAACATATTTATTTCTGTTGTCTACTTTGTGTTTTTTCTTCTTAATTTTCTTGCCATCTTCTACTTTGTGTCCAGAAGCTTCAAGCACATGCATTCCTTTTTTTTTTTTTTTAATCATAAAAATAATCAATTTTTAAATTTAACGACAATAACAATTCATAAAATCTTGAAAATCCATCCAATTCCAGGGAAACCATTTTTATTTTAATTTCTGATAATTATGAAGTTTTAGGTTTATATCAATGCAAATTGGTGAGATGTGTGTGTTGCATGTAACTGATTATTACATCAAATATGAGAGTGGTTTCAGTTAGCATGATCAGTATAATTGTTATTTTTACCTGAAGCATGAATTCGAGGTTTCTATTAACAGCGTGATCCCACAACGAATTGTTAAGGTACGTACATGTGTTTCAATTATAAATAGCCTCAGAAAACAAAATTGTATGCAAATTTATTTTGATCAGTAACAGCAATGATACCAAACACAACCCAAGAGATAAAAAAGATGCATGCTTTTTGCGATTTTTCTAACATAAACAACTTTAAAAATTACACAGGTCATAAAGCTTGAGCTACCAAAAACCAGTCTTGAATTCATTAATTGCAGATGTAGCTTTAACTACCAAACAAATATTCAATTGGTATAAGTTAGGCACGCTACTCCATGCCCTAAAACAACCGTTTTCTTATTTTTCATTTGATAGCTAGGGCATCATAATACAGTCCTTTTCTAATAAAAGCTTAGTATTCCTCAAGTATTTTTGAATCCATGTATTAATTCCACTATTAATTAGTTAATTTGTTTTAAAAAAATCAAGCTTTATATGTCGCATGCATTGCTCTCCTTTTCCATTTCATAATAATTTGATCCATATGTACTAAGAAAACCGAAAGCAAGATACAGTCTTCCCTTCTTGCACCATMTCCTATCATATATAATTCTATTTTCATAAATACACATATACATGTATACATCCATACATACATATCCACATGTATCCTGACATCAACATCTCTTCTGTTATGTATAGAAGGAACAAGATAATATCACTTGGTGGGTCCAGGATTATATGGCAAGCCCACCAATTCAATGGGCTGGGCTGGGCTGGATAAACCATCGTAGCTAGGGAAGACGTGACGTTTATATACATCATAAAATGTGTGTTGGTTGTAAGTTTAGAATGCAGCCGGTGGCTTTAAAAGTTGAAATGAAAAATAAAATAGAGAGTAATATATTACTTGTGAGGCTTCATTTAAAATTGCAACCATGAACGTGTGCCGTGGGCTAGTGGCTTTCAGGTGTAGAATGTCTGTCATGTCGCCTAATGCTTCTGGCTGGCTTCTCACTTATAATATGTTCATGCGTTCCAGTTCCACTAACCAAATTTACTTTTTTCCTTTTCATACGATTCCTCATTCTAAAGTAAAGGTGCTGTTTTATATTATATAGATTAGACTTGTATTTAAAGTACATAACAATTTCCAGGTTCTCCGGTCCATCTATTTTTGGGCTCTTCATCATCATCACCATCCAAGAGGTGGCCTAGCTACTAAAGTACATAGGTCCATGTCTATTTTTTCATGGGCTTTTTTTAGACAGAGATGCCCATGCACATGACATGAGAAGTATATATGTGGGAGCTGGGCCGCTGGGGAATGCTGAGCCCCCAAAAAAAAAACATATAAGAGAATCATGAAACACCATGTGCATGGGCTAGTGGCTTGAGCTTTTCTAACTGTTGCATGAATTCCAAAGGAGCTGCGCGAGTTGAGTGTTGTCTCTGTACTTTGTATGTGCTACTCTCGCATCATCTCCATGATGTACTTGAGAATCACACACATATATATTTGATACATTCTAGTTAGAAAGCAAATAAACTCATAACCACTTCTTTTTTCCTCTGCAATTAATTGTATCATCATCATCATCTATCATT